CGGGAGCGCCGCCGCGCTTCCCAAGCAGCGCACTATCCATTGCGCCACCGGGCCGGCCCCATTTTAATGCCTTTTAAATTTTTTTAACTAATACAAAAAGGATCATGCTGTGCATTGTATTGTAAGCAGATTTTTTTCAAATTGCAATTGCTTATTTCATAGCCTGCCTTCCTCACTAGATTGAAATTCTGTGAGGGTGGGGACCATGTCCATCTCACCTACTTTTGTCTTCCAGCATAATATCTGGTATATAGTGGGTACTTAATGCATAAATATTTGTTTACTCGATAAATACATACAACAGATTAAAGAAATCATTCCTTAAGTTGAGAAAGAAGAGGAGCAAAAGAAGAGAGTTGAGAGAGGGAGAAAATGATAAATGAGGGAGGAACGGTGACTATTTACAAGGAAAGAGAGAGACTAATTTCAGTTTTCTGTACTCTTTTTATCCCTCTTACCTAAGAACATTCTTTTTAACCACTTCCAGGGTATCTTACTCCACAACCAACACAAAATCATTACACACACGTGCAACAAGTACACTTAATATGCATAACTACTGGTATGAATCAATAGCTAAGAAATCTGCCTCTGTGTATGAACGGGAACTTTGACTTGGTGGAAACAAGGAAAGAAAGATAAGCTTCCTTTTAGGATTTGGAAATTAGGGAAATTATTTTGTATCTACTGAATATTTGGAGAAGCTGAAGGACTCTGCTTACTTTGTAATTTTGCCTGAGGCTCCAATATCTTTGTGATCAATGCTTTCCATGCTGGTTAGCAAGATGACTTCCTGATTTAGAATTTCACATCATCCTGCTTTAGAGAGTAAATTATTTGCCTATCCTGGTTTGGATCAGTCTACTATTTCAGCCTAGGGTTTCCTCTGTAGGTCTGTAGCTTTCTTACAGAAGAAGAGGGTGATAAAGGAAAGGAGAAGGTCGTTATTACCGACCTGATAATGGAAGAAAAGTAGGTTAGTCCTCCCTTCTTCCCATCATCTCTCCCTGTCACTCATCTCTCTTTTGTTTGGATATTTGTATATTTTCCAGTCAATGAAAATCTGTAAACCTATTTCTGACGCATTTGACATTATCTTGGTACTTAAAGAGATTTTTGTGTTATTACTTTTCTACCTAATGTGCCAGAACATTTCCCATTTCTTTTGTGATGATAACACTTGACATTTATCAAAGCCTTGTTAAGGAGCAGAGTAAATGTTTACATTAATTGTCCTAGTTATGTTTGGAATAAACACTAAAAGATTAGAAACTGGTAGAGGGGAAAAAGTATATTTAAGATGTTCTCCATCAATTAAAAACAAATTAGGGGGCCAGCCCGGTGG